CTGTTAGTTTGAAGGGGAAATCAGTGTCAGGTGTTTTCAGTCTATGGCATAACCGACAACCCCTTATTACTGTTCAAGGGTGCAACGGTTAATACACATCATTTAATACTTGACGTAAAACACAGTTACAAAACATTTAACACGTATCAAAGAAGCTACTCCACTCACCAGCGGTAGCGTCAGGAATTCCAGGAAATATCCCGTTTTACCATTAAATACATTTCTAGTATGTTAAGAGAGATAATACACTTTAGTCGTTAGCTTACATTTAGTGTGAATGGTTGACGCGGGCCCTAACCATTCTATTGGACCGCGTCTTTACAAGCCTTAGCAGAAATGGAGCGTAAGACAGGGCTTAGGTGCAACTCCTTCGGCAAGCATCTTTTCAAGCCTTTTCCAAGCCATTTCTAACCCCAACCCTAAGCTGTACATGATGTGAAAGAAAACGTGATTCCTCAGACCAAGCCACCTTCTTACTGCTCCACTGTCCTGTGCTGATGCTCATGTGCAGTTTCTATGAGCTTTTGATGGAAGAAACTGGCCAGCATAGCTAGTGTAGAGGCCACCATTTTCTTGGTTTTCGTCCCTGGTTGTCTAGTGGTAAGGATTCGGGCGCTCTCACCGCCGCGCGCGGGTTCGATTCCCGGTCAGGGAATGGTGTTTTATCCACCGCTGGCCAAATTAACATTTAAAAAGAAACCATATCACACAGAGAAATCCGTCCTTCGGCGGATTGGAACCAGTGACCTGAGGATGACTAGTTTAAGTACCTACAGTCCTCCGCTCTACCAACTGAGCTATCGGTGGTGAAGCGTAAGCTCAATCCATGTATATCTATAAAACCATTCGGTATATCGATATATAAGGTGTAATTTATCTCAACTGAGCAAGCCACTAAGTGGTGACGGTGGCAAGGAAAAACTCCCCTAAGATGTTAAGAGGAACAAACCTTGAGAGGAACCAGAATCAGAAGGGAACCTATCCTCATCTGGGTAACATCAGATAGTGTGAAAAAGATGATTAGGGATTCATATGGAGTCTCTTTGGCCTTAGACGCAGCTGTAGTCCCAGCAATCTGGAATTGGAGTAGATGAGAGCTCCATCCAGAGGTAGGCCATCCAAAATGGATCAGGTAGGTCCAGAGAGCAGAGGGGATCAGGATCTCTAGTATCTCCATAAAATCGGGTGTGGCTCGACAGAAGGAGGGAGGGAGAGAGAAAAAAAAACTAGGACTGTGCTTAGCATAAGAGAAAGTCTAGTCAGGGTAGGCTTGATTAAACAAATACGATTAAAGCCTAGACACTGAGACTGTGCCTGAGTCCCGAACTCTAATTGGAAGACTGTTCCATAAGTGTGGGGCTCCAGAAGAGAAAGCTCATCCTCCTGTTGTAGCCTTCGCTATTCGGGGTGCGAACAAATAGCCTGCATCTTTTGATCTAAGTAGGCGTGCGGATCATAGAAAAGGCAAAAGCGCTTAGATACTGCGGTCGAGACCATTTAGTTAATTATGGGTTACTAATAGTATTTTATAATATAAAGTATTTTATAGTTATCTTTGATAAGTGAGCTGGCAAACGAGATCGATTTTCTATTCGAATTTTGCTCTTCACAAGCAAAGCGGCAAAGTGATTTAAGGAAACACTAGACTATTTTTTCTGGAGCCAATAAACGTGTTTGTGCATCTTTATATTCTCATGTTTCTGCCCTTCTTCAATACATTTACTTCAATTAAGTAACTAGACCATTTACAACTTTACATGTACACATTCGATTCAGTTCAAATCAATTTTATTTGTGTAGCGCTTTTACAGTGGACATTGTCTCAAAGCAGGATTCGTTTGACTTCCTTTACGTCAATGCAATTTCCCAGGATGGAAGATGTGTTTGGCACGAGCTTGTTTGATGAATGCCAAGGTGCTTTGTTGCTCATCTTCATAAAGATTCTCTGCATTAAGACTCAGGTTCATAGCAGGCTTCAACTTGCACAGGTAAAGCCCCAGTGCAGTTCAAGTCCAGTGCCATATTCTGTTGGCCATCACGGGTATTGGGGCACAGGACAAGGCTTAAGGCCGGGCCTAACCATTCTATTGGACCTCTTTACAAGCCTTAGCAGGAATGGAGCATAAGACAGGGCTTAAGTGCAACTCCTTGCCGCGCGTCTTTTCAAGCCTTTCAAGCCATTTCTAACCCCAACCCTAAGCTGTACATGATGAATGAAAAACGTGATTCCTCAGACCAAGCCACCTTCTTACTGCTCAAGGGTTGTAACGGTTAATACCAATCATTTAATACTTGACGTAAAACACAGTTACAAAACATTTAACTCAAAGGAGCTACCGCCACTCAGCAGTAGCAGTCAGTAATTCCAGCAAATATCCTGTTTTACCATTTAATACATTTCGTATGTAATATTAGAGATAATACAGTTTAGTTGTTAGCTTACATTTAGTGTGAATGGTTGCAGCGGGCCTGGCGTAACCATTTCTTTATTGGACCGGTTTTTACAAGCCTTAGCAGGAATGGAGCGTAAAACAGGGCTTAAGTGCAACTCCTTGGCCAAGCATCTTTTCGCGCCCTTTTCAAGCCATTTCTAACCCCAACCCTAAGCTGTACATGATGTGAAAGAAAACGTGATTCCTCAGACCAAGCCACCTTCTTACTGCTCAAGGGTGCAACGGTTAATACACATCATTTAATACTTGACGTAAAACACGTTACAAAACATTTAACTCAAAGGAGCTACGCCCACTCACCCGCGGTAGCAGTCAGTAATTCCGCCAAATATCCTGTTTTACCATTTAATACATTTCTAGTATGTTAAGAGAGATAATACAGTTTAGTTGTTAGCTTACATTTAGTGTGAATGGTTGAGCAGCGGGCCTAACAACTCTATTGGACCGTCTTTACAAGCCTTAGCAGGAATGGAGCGCAAGACAGGGCTTAAGTGCAACTCCTTGGCCAAGCATCTTTTCAAGCCTTTTCCAGGCAATTTCTAACCCCCAACCCTAAGCTGTACATGATGTGAAAGAAAATGTGATTCCTCAGACCAAGCCACCTTCTTACTGCTCCACTGTCCTGTGCTGATGCTCATGTGCAGTTTTTGAGCTATGAGCTTTGATGGAAGAAACTGGCCAGCATAGCTAGTGTAGAGGCCACCATTTTCTTGGTTTTCGTCCCTGGTTGTCTAGTGGTAAGGATTCGGGCGCTCACCGCGCGCCGGGTTCGATTCCCGGTCAGGTAAAGTGATTTAAGGAAACACTAGACTATTTTTTCTGGAGCCAATAAACGTGTTTGTGCATCTTTATATTCTCATGTTTCTGCCCTTCTTCAATACATTTACTTCAATTAAGTAACTAGACCATTTACAACTTTACATGTACACATTCGAATCTGTTCAAATCAATTTTATTTGTGTAGCGCTTTTACAGTGGACATTGTCTCAAAGCAGGATTCGTTTGACTTCCTTTACGCTCAATGCAATTTCCCAGGATGGAAGATGTGTTTGGCACGAGCTTGTTTGATGAATGCCATGGTGCTTTGTTGCTCATCTTCATAAAGATTCTCTGCATTAAGACTCAGGTTCATAGCAGGCTTCAACTTGCACAGGTAAAGCCCCAGTACAGTTCAAGTCCAGTGCGTATATTCTGTTGGCCATCACGGGTATGGGGCACAGGACAAGGCTTAAGTGCAATTTCTTGGATCATTTATGGTTTTATAGTGTATGTTTGATGCTATCCAAAGTGCCAACCGTCTTTCAGCGCGTAAGTAGGATTTCCTCGTTAGTATAGTGGACAGTATCTCCGCCTGTCACGCGGAGAACCGGTTCGATGACGGCGGAGTCTGTTTGCTAACACCGATGCTCTATTCTTTTGCACACCACGCGAAAGAACCATGAGACAAGGCTTAAGTGCAATTCCTTGGCTTTTTTATGTTTTGGTCATTTTCCACGCGCACACGCGTCTTTACAAGCCTTACCAGGAATGGAGCGTAAGACAAGGCTTAAGTGCAACTCCTTGCCGAGGCGTCTTTACAAGCCTTAGCAGGAATGGAGAGTAAGACAAGGCTTAAGTGCAACTCCTTGCGAAGCGTCTTTTCAAGCCTTTTCAAGCCATTTCTAACCCCAACCCTAAGCTGTACATGATGTGAAAGAAAGTTGATTCCTCAGACCAAGCCACCTTCTTACTGCTCAAGGGTGCACAACGGTTAATACACATCATTTAATACTTGACGTAAAACACAGTTACAAAACATTTAACTCAAAGGAGCTACTCCACTCACCAGCGGTAGCAGTCAGGAATTCCAGGGAAATATCCCTTTTACCATTAAATACATTTCTAGTATGTTAAGAGAGATAATACACTTTAGTCGTTAGCTTACATTTAGTGTGAATGGCTGAGCGGCGGGCCTAACCATTCTATCGGACTGTCTTTACAAGCCTTAGCAGGAATGGAGCGTAAGACACACGGACTGTGCAACTCCTTCTGCGCGGTCTTTACAAGGCTTACCAGGAATGGAGCGTAAGACAAGGCTTAAGGCACTAACCTTGGCCAGCGTCTTTTCAAGCATTTTCAAGCCATTTCTAACCCCAACCCTAAGCTGTACATGATGTTAAAGAAAAAACGTGATTCCTCAGACCAAGCCACCTTCTTACTGCTCAAAGGTGCAACGGTTAATACACATCATTTAATACTTGACGTAAAACACAGTTACAAAACATTTAACTCAAAGGAGCTACTCCACTCACCAGCGGTAGCAGTCAGGAATTCCAGGAAATATCCCGTTTAACCATTAAATACATTTCTAGTATGTTAAGAGAGATAATACACTTTAGTCCGTTAGCACATTTAGTGTGAATGGTTGAGCGGCGGGCCTAACCATTCTATTGGACCGTCTTTACAAGCCTTAGCAGGAATGGAGCGTAAGACAGGGGGCTGTGCAACTCCTTGGCCAAGCATCTTTCAAGCCTTTTCAAGCCATTTCTAACCCACCAACCCTAAGCTGTACATGATGTGAAAGGAAAACATGATTCCTCAGACCAAGCCACCTTCTTACTGCTCCACTGTCCTGTGCTGATGCTCATGTGCAGTTTCTATGAGCTTTTGATGGAAGAAACTGGCCAGCATAGCTAGTGTAGAGGCCACCATTTTCTTGGTTTTCGTCCTTGGTTGTCTAGTGGTAAGGATTCGGGCGCTCTACAACCGGTCGCGTTTCAGCCCGAAGTAGGATTTCCTCGTTAGTATAGTGGACAGTATCTCCGCCTGTCACGCGGAAGACCGGGTTCGATTCCCCGGACGGGGAGTCTGTTTGCTAACACCGGTGCTCTATTCTTTTGCACCCCCCACCAGCAAAGAAACCATGAGACGAGGCTTAAGTGCAATTCCTTGGCTTTTTATGTTTTGGTCATTTCCCACGTGCGAAGCGTCTTTACAAGCCTTAGCAGGAATGGAATAAGACAAGAACTTAAAGGATGCAACTCCTTGGCGAAGCCGTCTTTTCAAGCCTTTTCAAGCCTTATATATCCCTTTTTACCATTAAATACATTTCTAGTATGTTAAGAGAGATAATACACTTTAGTCGTTAGCTTACATTTAGTGTGAATGGCTGAGCAGCGGGCCTAACCATTCTATCGGACTGTCTTTACAAAGCCTGCGCAGG